TCACTTTTGCCATGGCAAATTTAACTCTATTTTTTGCCATGGCAAAAATACTTTTATTTCACATGGCAAATTTTAGTTTAAGTTGCCATTGCAAATTTTATTTTGAAGTTTCCATGGCAATTTTAATTTAAATATTATGGCAAATTTACATTTTATAGAACATGGCAAAATTTACTACGTAGCATCTTAAATATACTTGTGTAACCATGACATTTTTTAATTTATTTCCATGGAAAAAGTACTACACTTTTGCCATGGCAAAAATTAAACCATTTTTGCCATGACAAATTTCACTCCATTTTATGCCATGGCAAACTTGTTTAATTAACATGTTCAAAAACATGCAAACTTGCCATGGCAAAGTTATAGATGTTTAAAAATATGGCAAACTTTGTAGATGTTCACAAATATGGCAAATTTGCCATGGCATTTTAAAATGTTCAAAAACATGACAAACAAATGATGTTAAAAAACATGGCAAACTTGCTATGGCAACTAATGATGTTCAAAAACATGGCAACCTAAGATGTTCAAAAATATGGCAAACTTGCCATGGCAACTAAAATCAGTATTGTTTATAAATGTTTTTTTTTCATGGCAACTAAATGCATTTTTTGCCATGGTTCATTGTGTATTTTTGCCATATCCATCCGAAGAATGTTTGTCATGACCATTACAAATTAGTTTGAGAACACGACAAGTTTGTTCTTTCAAAATTGTTTTTTCCATGGCAAAAAGTTTTGATTCTTTGAAATTTGTTTTGCCATGGGGATTACATGTACGATATCATTACAACTTAAAAATGTTGAGAAATGTTAACGCCCACACGTGTGGGCGTTTGCACATCGCCCACACGCCTCCATCACCACTCATTTTGCCACGTATGAATAGATGACATCAGCAGAATTTTTTTTGGTTTTTGGCTTAAAAATGTTGTATCTCCTAAATAAAAAAGCGAACTAAAAATCCGTTTTCACCATTAAATCCGTCTCGACGAGATCTTGAAAACTAGACCCCATGTTGATATGTTTCGACGATTTTTTTTGCCAAAAGTTGTCACGATGTTTACACTGCAGTTGTCATAGAGCTTAAACTAAAGTTGCCATGTGGCAATTTTAGTTTGTAGATCATGGCAATTTTAGTATTTTGATGATGGCAACTCCAGTACTTTGACCATGAAAATTATTTTTTGTATGAACCATGGCAATTTTACGTGCATGTATCATGGCAATTTTAGTTTATGGTTCATCGCAAGTCTAGTTTCTTAATTTCCCGTTTTATAAATATCAAAATTTACTTTTAAATGTAGAAGAAAATAGCTGAAACATATCATGGGAACTTCAGTGTAAACATCATGGCAATTCATATGCAATAGACATGGCAACTTTTAATCGAATTTTTTTTCATCAAAACATATCAACATGGGATCTAGTTTCGAAGATCTCATCGCGAGGGATTTAATGGTGAAAACGAATTTTCAATCGGATTTTTTGTTTAAGAGATAAAACATTTTAAAAACTGAAAATCGAAAAAGATTCCTGCATGCATGCATGCGATGACGTGATAATCTGTTTACATTAGAAACGTGTGGTGCGTCTTCTTTCCTGCCACACGTGTGGCAGTTAGCGCGACCCAAAATGTTTTCTCCATTTATTTCGAAAAATTTCTGTGTCTAGAGAGAATTTTTTCACCATATCACTTGATGGCATTTTTTTCCTTTTTTCGTAAACTTTTGTAGTGATGGCAACTTTTCGTACTGTAGAGATGCATGTTGCCATGACTTCTTCCTTTTTTGCGCCATTTTTTAAAACATAAACTTGAACATGGCAATTTCTTTCATTGAATGGCAAAAGTCCATGGCAATTTTGTCGTGCAAAGGACCAATGTCGAGAACGAAGCGTTCGGTCGATGCCCCTCCCGTCCGGAACGAAGCGTTCGGCCTGGGTGCTCCCAGACCGAACGGTCGGTTGTTATCGATGTCCAATATTTTTCCCACGCCCTGCATCCGGCTGCCCTCAACCAATCGGATCAACTCTCGAATCCCCTGCTTCTCCGATCCACCCACCAGACAGAGGACCGCCGTCCCTCGTCGCGATCAAATCCGCGAGTGAAGATGACACCCGCTCACCTCTTCTCGTACACCATCATCGGCGACCCAGGTCGATCGTCCTTCCTCCCCGTCCCTAATCCGGCACCCGCCGCTCCGACCCCTCCCGTCACGCACGCATGATCGGCCAACAGGGCTCGCCCGTTCGTTCCACGTCTGAATCGCGGGGTGCTGACGTTGACCTGTCGATTGTTGCAGGCGTCGGGAAGTCGTGCCTGGAGCAGCAGTTCACGGCCAGGGCGTTCCCGGAGGAGCACGAGCCCACCATCGGCGTCGAGTTCGGCACGCGCACCATCGCCGTCCACGACAAGCGCGTCAAGCTTTACATCTGGGACATGGTGCGTGCAAACTTATTTACCCTTCCTTCCTTCCTTGTCAAAATCCGAGAGGAAGCAGAGATTTCTGCCCTAGTGTCACAATTGATCTGTATTTTACACCACACCACAGTAAATATATTGCTTATTTGAATTGTAAAGACTACTTGTCAAATTATTTTTTTAATTAATAACTAGCACAATAAGGTGATGCTTTTGCATGCCTTTTTCATGGTGTTCTGTACGTAGTACCATACGTGCTGAATTTCATGTTATGAAGCATATTCATCTCGTATTATCATGTCTTGACTTTGCAGGAGGGCCGCGAAACGTACGTATCTGTCACTCAGCAGTGCTACTACAGAGCTGCTTGTATCATTTTGGTTTATGATATCACAAGGTACTACCTCAATGGGTTGTCAATAATACATCTGTTATGTTGTTAGCTTTGTGCGTGCGGTGCTTCATGCACTTCACTGACCTTGCTTCAGGAGGGAGACTTTTGATCATATTGCTGTATGGCTATCAAGAGCAAGAAAGCTATCGAGAGCCGGTGTAACATTGGTGCTGATCGGGAACAAATGCGATCTGTCTCACATGCGTGCTGTCGGCTATGAGGAAGGTCGAAAGTTTGCCAAGAGGCACAAACTGGTGTTCATGGAGGCCTCTGCAAAAACCACACAAAATGTTGAGGAGGTAATGCTTTACCCATTGTACATTTGGTACAATTACACTCTGTTTTCCTATTCAAGATTATCTTGCATTGTTATGTAATGTAGGCATTCGTTGTGACCACCGAAACAGTATACCAGAAAGTCGAAGATGGTGTCATCGACTTGTCTGAAAAGGTCAGTTTAAGTGCTTGCCTTCTTGTTTCTCAAAGTGTTAGGTTATGTTGGTGTTCATCAAAGATACTCGGACTGTATTTGTGGGGCAGATAGGCCACCTGTGAGTACGGGACAATGCCCCAACCCCATAAATTTCTAATCAAGGCTGAAGAGTTTGGTGGTGCTCACAACTGTAGCAAACCTTCCAGCTTCAATTGGACACACACACAACATTAAGCATGGCGAATGCGCTTTGCTGAGAGTGATAAGATGATGAGGAAAGAAACCAAAATGGTATCTTGCCCCTCATCGATCTGAGAACATCAACAGAGAAGAGGATGTGTTCAGCCACTAGTCTTGTCTGCCTCCAAACGCCATGGAGGAGAAGATCTTCAGTTGCCTTGTAATCTCTGGTAACTCCATATTCCCCAAGCGTTTGAGGACCGATCCATCTTAGGAAACACGACAACCCTGAATAACTGCTGCCACATCCTGAGGAGCCTAGTAATCCTTGCCCACGCCCACTACCAGTCTTCAAATATGCTTATGAAGTATAAGATCATTATTACACAGTGCTTCCACAGCCCCGACAGTAGAGCGGCATTGACTGAGCTCATCACAGCATTTCTGACATACTCCCTCAGTTTCTAAATAAAAGTCTTTTTAGAGATTCTATTGGGACTACATACGGATGTATATAGACATACTTTAGAGTGTAGATTCACTCATTTTGCTTCGTGTGTAGTCCATATTGGAATCTCTAAAAAGACTTATATTTAGGAACGGAGGGAGTAGTTCCGTTTCTCCCATGTTGTGACCAAATAACAGGGTAATTTAGCTAAGATTTGTTTGGTCACCAAAGAGTCAACGAACAACAGGCTGTTCTTTCAGTAAACATGGCATGTGGGTCGTGAAAACCAGAGCAGAAGAAGCCTAGTAGATGCAGTGTGCATAGCCAAGGAGCTGAAGCCACAGCCACAGCCTGTCGGATTCCGCATCTCTCCTCACAGCCTTCTCCTTCATGGCGTTTGAATGGTTAGAATTAAGGTGGATATGAAGTGTAGTTTGACAGTCGTTTCGGCAAAAAGGGTGTGTAGTGTGTCACTCGAAGCATACATTATATCGTCAGTTTCAACAGAACGCACAGTTTCATGAAATACACGAGACCTTTCTTAAGATCATGCAGTTTATGTTTGGCAATACATAATTTTGTTATCCTACTTGTTGCAGTTTGTTGGATTCTTACATATGCCTGAGAACATTACACCGAGCCAATCTGGAGGTGTAGCTGGATCATCCTATGGAAGGAGTAATTGCTGCTTGGTCTGGTGCCGAAAATTGGCTTGCCAATACGCAGGCAAGGCAAAAAAATGGCTGTCAATTGGTTGGCAACCAAGTTACTTTGCCAACCTCTCGAAACTTGGGAATTTTTGTCAAGCTTTGGAGTTGCCGAATGTTGGCATGCCAATATGCTGGCTAGCCAATTTTTGGCTGTCAGCCAAGCATGCTCTGAACTCATGGCGCAAAAACGCACAATTGGTTTGTGCGTTTGTGCGCATCCGATCAACGCACAAACTCGTAAGAAGAGGAGACTTTGTCTCCCCTATATATGTTTCTCTTGGTTTGGTATAAAACGGCGAGATCAATTCCAACAAACCTAGCCCCGAAGCAGTCGGCTCAAGTCGAGTCCGTGCTTCTCCAATCCACCCACCAAACAGCCGACGCTCGCCGCGAGCGAGTCCGCGACTGAAGATGCAATCCGCTCGCCGCTTCACGTACACCATCGTCGGCGACGCAGGTCGGCCGTCACACCCCTTCCCTAACCCGGAACCCGCTGCTTCGACTGATCGACCCACCCTGGGCTCGCTCGTTCCACGTCCGAATTGTGGGACGCTGATGCTGATCTGTCGATTGCTGCAGGTGTCGGGAAGACGTGCCTGGAGCGGCAGTTCACGTCCAGGACGTTCCAGGAGGTGCACGATCTCACCATCGGCGTTGAGTTCAGCACGCGCACCATCAACGTCGACGACAAGCGCATAAAGCTTGACATCTGTGACACGGTGCGTGCAGGCTATTTACCTTATCTGTCTTCTGTTCCTCCGTCCGGAATTACTTTTCGCTCAAACGGATGTATCTGGACGAGGGAGTACTTTGTAATTTATTTACACTAAAACACAGTAAATATATTGTTTATTCGAATTGTAAAGACTAGTTGTTGTGAAACTGTTTAATTAAAACACAATGCTTTGATGTTCTTACTTAAGCAGCATGTCCATCTCATATTTCTGTATCTTGACTTTGCAGGCTGGCCACGAAGCGTTCGTACCTATTACTAAGCAATTCTACTGCGGAGCTGCTTGTATCATTTTGGTTTATGACATCACAAGGTACTACCTCAACGGGTTATCAAATACATCTGCCTATGGTGCTAAACTTTGTCCATCGATGGTTCTTACGCTTCATCACTGACCTTGCTTCAGGAGGGAGACTTTTGATCATATAGCTATATTGCTTGAAAGAGCAAGAGAGCTATCGAGAGCCGGCGTAACATTGGCGCTGATCGGAAACAAATGCGATCTGTCTCACATGCGTGCGGTCAGCTACGAGGAAGGGCGGGAGTTCGCCAAGAGGCACGATCTCGTGTTTATGGAGACCTCTGCAAAAACCACACAAAATGTTGATGAGGTAATTTTTTTATCCCATGTACATTGGGTACAATTACGCTTCCTTTAGATTAATTTTACATCATTATGTAATGTAGGCATTCATTCTGGCCGCGGAAAGAATATACAAGAAAGTCCAAGTTGGTGTCCTTGACTTACCTGAAAAGGTCTGTTTAAGTGCTTGCCTTGTCCAATATGCAGGCAAGGCAAAAGATTGGCTATCAACTGGTTGGCAACCAACTTACTTTGCCAGTCTCTCGAAACTTCGCAATCTTTGGCAAGCCTTGGAGTTGTCAAATCTAGGCATGCCAATATGCTGGATAGCCAATTTTTGGCACAAAATGGGTCGATGGAAGTAGATATGAAGCTGAGAAATCCTAATGACCGGTTTATGCAGAAGGATCCTTTTGAACTTGCTAACTTAGTGTATGTATGCAACTGTAACTATACTATATATTAGGCGTTGGAGTACTAAGATGAAATTCAAGTTCCGTGCATTGGTTTTGCTATATGAAGTTATTAGTTTGCTCATGTTCTACTAAACCTCCGAAAATGGAACAATCGTGCGCTTGAAGGCCCTGAAGGCAGGAACACTAATGTAATTGTGGAGTACAGTAAGGAACCCCATCAATCCTGCTTCCAGGGACGGTCCCTGCATTTGTGCGTGTTGACAGTGCAATATAAGTACCTCGGTGCAGCCATGCGGTGTTCGACTTGCTCACATGAATCAGCACACTCAAAGAGTACTGATGCCTAAGCTCGCAGTAACTTGGTTTGTCAGAATATATGCTCCCATGATAATACAACACATTCGATACCTGGAAATTCTGTCAACATCCACTCTTTCGAAGAGGATCCTCCCTGGATCACATTGTCCACATTGCATTTGTCTGTGTAACTTTTGTAAAACACCAATTAACGATCTAATGTGCCTAGGAAATGCCGTCTACTTTGTGAGATAGCACTCGATATTTTTCAGCCACCCTACAAGGTCTGTCTACTCCTGGTTTTTCCTCTCTGCTCCAAGTAATTACGCACTGCGGTTTGCATCTCCTCATCCAACTCCCTGCGAATTGGTAAGAACAA